GGTACCACGAGGTGAGCAGCCGCCATGAGACCCAGAGTCTGCATGATGGTCAAAGCTGTCACCGTTGCCCCCTGTCGCAGTCTGCAAACTGCCTGAAGCAGGGATGCCTGTCTGCTCTCTGACAGGGTGGCACGTAGTCTGCCTGCATCGAGCAGAATCTCCAGATACCCCACCTGCTGGTGAGGTATGGGACTGCTCTTCTTCCAATTGACCACAATCCCCACTTGGATCAATTGGGCTGTGTTTGCCCCTTCCCTGGACCTGGCCATGACTATGAGGTCGTAAAAGAAAACCTTCATGCCATGGCCGCGAAGCGGCTGAAGCGCTGTGGCCACACATTTGCTGAACGTGCGTGGGGATAGGGAGTAGCCAAACGGTAGTCTGTTGTACTCGCAGGCTACCCCCTGGAAGGCAAAACGCAAATACTTTCTGTGCTTTGGAGCAATTTCGACATGAAAGTAAGCGTCCTTCACGTCGATGGTTGTGAACCAATCGCCCGGCTGCACTATTTCCAGTAATTGTTTTACATATGGATCTTTTTGCAGGCAATGTGCTGATTCAGGCTGCGAAGATCCAGAATGGGTCTGAACTCTCCTGTCTTCCTGGAAACCAGGAAGTACATGGAGTAAACCCCTTTTTCTCTGTCCTGAGAGTGCACAACAGACACAGCCTGTTTTTGCAACAGGGCCTGATTCTCTGTTGAAAGGAAACCTATCTCCTCCTGGGATGATAGATGTGCCTCTCTTATGCCCAGTGCTTGAATTGGAATAAAAAAGCTGCCAGTACTCTAAATCAGCAACTGTTTCAAGTCAATTTTATTTATACAGCCCAAAAACAAGAATTTGGCTCAAAGGTCTTTACAATCTGTACAACATACGACTCCCTCTATCCTTATCCTCATATCTTTGCTTCAGTAATTAAAAAGAAACACAAAAAAACTTTAACAGACAAGGAAAAGTTTGTTTTTTAAAAAAGAATATTTACTGTAACGTTCAGAAATTGCATGTTTTTCCACGACTAATCAGGGAGGTGTCCGGGGCTCTCATAGAGAACATGACGTAGCCTATACATGTGCCTGCATCAGGTCATATAGTATATCCTATAATGCTGGTGGGTTTGTCTCTTTACTGTATATTTTAGAAAGGCTCACTGTACTTAAAAAAAGTATGAAAGGCAGCGGATATGGCTAAAGCCTGACTCCTACTGGCGACTGGTTAAATGACTCCTCGTCCCTGAGTACACTCAGCAGGAATTATTTTGGGGTTGGCTGGGGCAAGAACCGGGGCCTCACTCGCCGAAGTCTGTCAAATGCTGCTTGACATTGCTCAGTCCAAACAAAATCACTGTCCTTGTAGCAGCTGAAACAGGGGTGCAGCAGTGCAAGCGAAACCCTGTACAAACATCCTGTAGTACGAGGCCAGGCCCAGAAAACTCTTCAGCTGCTTCTGGTTGAGAGGATTAGGCCAGTCTGCGACCGCCTGCACTTTCTCTTGCAGGGTGCCGATGCCTTTCGCCCCCCACTTTGTGGCCCAGGAAAGTGACTTCTCTCTGCATGAAATGGCACTTCTCTGGGTGTAGCTGCCATGCACCAGAATGTCGTCCAGGCAAACCAAGCACTGCTGACGGGGAATACCAAACAGTACCCTGTCCATCAACTGCACAAGGGTGGCAGGGGCATTACAAAGTCCAAAGCTGAGGACCTTGAACTGCCACAGCCCCCGCCCGGTGCAGAAAGCAGTTTTTGGTCTGGCCTCTGGGGCAAGAGGGACCTGGTAATACCCACTGTGGAGGTCCAAGGAAGAGAACCAAGACGACCCCGAGACCAGGTCCAGGAACTCGTCGATGCGGGGGAGGGGGTATGAATCCTTCTTGGTGACCCCGTTCACCGGCCTGTAGTCTGAGCACAGCCGCCAACCACCTGTCTTCTTTGGGATCATGACTACAGGTGCTGCCCCACGGGCTGTCGGAGGGCTCGATGATGTCTGCCTGCAGCATGCTCTGCACTGCTTCGTCACAAGCCTGCTGACGGGCCAGGGGAAGTCGGCGAGGACGACACTTGACGGGGCGCGAGTCTCCTGTATCAATCTCGTGATCTACCAGATGAGTTCGGCCCACCTCCTCCTCACTCATGGCGAAACTGCCCTGGAACTCTAGCAGCAGCTGCCAAAATTGCTCCTGCTGCTCGGGATTAAGGCCGCGACAGTTCTTCCTCCACACCTCCAATACTCCAGTCTGGGGTAACTGGGGGGGGCTGGGACTGGGTGGCACAGGCCGGGGGTGACAGGTGCGGAGTTGCCCTGAGTGGGCGTCACCGGGGATAAAGGCAAGGAGGGAGGATTGTTTGCAGTTTCTAGGGTACTCACTGGGTGCGTAGGGGGTCTCCCAGAAGGTTCAGCAGTGTGGATACGGGTAATAGTGATCACAGGCCCCCCCGTGGAGACTCACTGTGCCTGTTTGAAGATCCAGATGGCAACCAGTCGCCCTCAAAAAGTCCAAACCCAGAATACACGGGTCCTGCACTTCTGCTATCCACACTGGATGCTGCACTTTAACTCCCCCCACCGACACAGTCAGCATGCCTTTTCCTTTCATAGGTGCCAGCTCTCCCGTGACTGTGAGTAGATGCACCGCTGTAGGTTCAAATTGAGTCCCACTGGGCAACACAGCCGGTGGACCCGCCCCTTCGCTGTTCCTAGCAGCTACACTCCACACATTCTCTCTCTCCACAGCCATCTCCAAGGCCGCCTGCAAGGACTGTGGATGCTGCAGCTGTACCTCGACCCTCAAGTCAGCAGGGAGGAGGGCCCTGATGAATTGATCCCACGCCAGCTCACTCTGCACTCCGGGTGGCATTTGTGCATACGCCCACCGCGTCAGGCTTTCCGAGTCGTTAGCAAGCAGTAGCAGGCATGATAGAGCCTCGTCTGTAGGCACAAAGCTAAGTGTAGCGCTTTAGTCTCGATTAACCACCCCCCTGCATGTGCTACCAGTTCAAATTGGGCATGGAAAGCGTCCCAGTCCGACCTACCCGAGTACTTGGGTGTTTTCACGGACGCGGCTGCTACTGGTTGCTGGGCGCCGCCATTGTTGTTTACATCCAGATGGGCGCCGCCATTGTTGTTTTCATTCCGAATGTCAATGGCGCGAAACGCTGCTGAGTCTCTAGCCATCCTCACCGCCGACTCTCTCAGGCGCTCTCTCGTCTCCCGTGCACTCTTGAACTCCGTACTCATGTCCTTCGACCACCCGCATGCTCCATCTTCCTCTCCGTCACTCTTTTCTTGCTTCACTCCCATCCTCCCGAACTCATCCATCTCCGCTAGCTCACTGGCTAACTCCGTGACGCAGTTATGAGCTCCCGTCAGGATATACGTCCTTCGTTCGAAAAAGTCACTTCTTGTTTGTAAAATATATATCACTCAGTATAACAGGCCTACATTACTCTCTTTATTTGTATGCTGTAGTTTAGTAGATATCTACAAACAAAGAGTCGATATTTTTCTAAAACCATTTAGTGCTTCACATAATAAAATACACAGCTGTATCCTGATATATATGATATGCTTTTGTAGGTGCGTGTTGTACAGTGTGTAGGTGCGTGCAAGGCCGTCCCTCCCTACAGGCCGATCATGCAGACTGCGTGGGGCCTCACCTTGTGGAGGGTGCCTCAACTGAGCCGAAAATGCAGCGCAATTAGTGTGGCGCGGCACGGTTTCGCCGCTGCGAGGCTCCACTAGCTCCTGCTAGTGGGGGGGGGGGGGGGGTAGGCCCTCTGCAAAACAAATGAGGGCCTCATCATATAACTTTGCGTGGGGCCTCACGTTGGCCAGGGACGGCCCTGTGTGTGTGTGTGTGTGTGTGTGTGTGTGTGTGTGTGTGTGTGTGTGTGTGTGTGTGTGTGTGTGTGTGTGTGTGTGTGTGTGTGTGTGTGTGTCTGATAGTGTTACGTTATTATGAGAGTGCTCTCATACTTGTTTGAATCTGAAATTGTATATATTATATAAATATATATATAAATATATATGTGTGTGTGTGTGTGTGTGTATATGTCCGCATCTGTAGCCTGTTATTGTCTCATTATACCGCACTGTGAATGAATTAAAAGTAAATATATAAGTGGTCATGAACACATCTGTCCATCAGACAGAGTGCTGTGCCTCCTGTCATCATTAATGGACGTCTCTTTAAAATGACCGCTCAGAGGAGAGGAGTTCTCATTTCTCTAACCGCCTGCTGCTTCCCCTCCTCTCTCCTCGGTTCCCCTCCTCGACTCCTCCGCTCACATCTCCTGTGGGCGGGACTAAGACACGAGGATAGGAGTCGAGGAGGGGAGTCGAGGAGGGGAATTAGATAAATGAGAAAGGGCAAATGAGCCTGAGTGGAGAGGCTCTGTCTGCCTTGTGATTTAATCTGAACCATGGAAGGACCAGGAACAAAGCTTCTGAGAATCTCAGCATGCGAGGGAACATAACGCAATCAAAAGATCAAGCAAGTCCTCTCAGGACTTTAAGATTAATCAATAAAAAATGTAAATCAATTCTAAAGCAACAGGTAGCCAGGATCAGTGTGATGTGGTCGTTCAAGTTGTGTTTATCATGTAATTGGTTAAAACAATTATGTAGCCTAAATGATGAACTTGGATGAAAGATAAAGGCATGTTATCTATGAAGCAACAGTCTTCACAGGTAGATAGTCAGCCACATCGAAACACAGTTCCTCACATAGAGGCTGCCTCCAGGCAGGTATACTAGTGAATCCTCAAACTATTCTGAAATGCTGCAGTAAGCACAGAAATCCACACGATGTTTTTAACAGAATGTTGACACAAGGTGGCAGAAGGATTTGCATGACTAATCCCATGACCTTTCACCTTCATTGATCTATCAAATATGTAATCCTTAAAAAAGCTGATATTTGATCAGCTGCGACTGTGGTCCAGTATGCATGTTCCATAAATTGCCACAACACTTACTTTGTCATTTGATCGTTAAATAAACCAGATGTGGAGCGAAATGACAGAGCTGGTGTCCTCCAACAACAACTACTCCTGCTACCGGAAGGCCTTCAGTGAGTGCCAGGGCTTTAAGACCCCCATCCTGGGGGTGCACCTGAAGGACCTGATCGCAGTGCATGTGGTCTTCCCTGACTGGGGGCATGACAGCAATGAGGTGAACCTGGTGAAGATGCATCAGCTCTACATGACCTTCAACGAGTTGGTGTCCTTGCAGACTGCGGTGGCCCAAGTGGAGCCCAACATGGACCTGATCTACCTGCTGACGGTGAGGGCCCCCCTCCACACATAGAACCTGAGGGGAAGCATTTAATGTGTGCTGGCAAAATGTGTGTGCATATATAAGGAATTGGCCAAATATCAAATTTACAACAGAAAAAAATATGTATCTCTGTCTTTCTCTTTTGTTTCTGTTTCAATTCAACATCAATCATATTCAGCACAGCTTCTTCTGAGAGGAAGAGGAGTAAATAGATTTAAGGATTTAAAAACTGTTGTCAAGCATTTTTGTAGCAAAACATATTTCTCAGAATAGTTTTGTTGGTCAAAAAATAAAAGCATTAGCCTGGGTGTAGGACGGAAATGTATTTCGTTTTTTTTGTAACTTGCATAAAACTAATATAAGCCCCCAAAAATAGATGGGTTTAACACCACAGGACAAACCAGAAAAATATATGTTTGACATCGGCCCCTGGTCTGATTTCTCGGACCAAAACTAGTTTAAAGCTGCCACTCGCTTTTGCTACCTGACACCCAGGACCTGTCACTGCGCTCCAGATCACAAAACATATCCAAATCTACTGTGAAGTGCTCTGTGTATTGGATCTAATAATGGAGGAGCACCACATCACTGTAATCCAAGAAAAGAAAATCAGTGCTATATATTTCCAACAGTGTGATTAATCAATATGTAATAGTCTATACATTAAACTAAAGCTTACTGTGTTATACTCAATTGTTTATAGATTAAACTAATGATATCCAAAACCCTTTTGTTTTCAGCTTTCTTTAGACCTTTATTACACCGAAGATGAGATTTATGAGTTGTCATTACTAAGGGAACCACGTAACCACAAATCATTGGTGAGTTTCAGATCGAATGTATTTTGTGTTCAGCTTTGTCCACACTGTGTGCATGCTGGATACACTTTATAGGTATGCTAAAATGTACAGGATTTGCACTGTTTGACAACTTATAATTGTTCATACACTACCTGTCAAAAGTTTGGACACACCTTCAAATTCGAAGTTTTTTTATTTAATTTTAAATATTTATACTTTGTAGATTAATACTGAAGAAATCAAAATTATGAAAGAACACATATGGAATTATCTAATTAACAAAAAAGTGTTAAAAAATCCAGAATATGATTTATATTTGAGATTCTTCAGAGTAGCCCCCTTTTGCCTTGATGACAGCTTTGCACACTCTTGGCTTCTCTCAGTCAGCTTCATGAGGTCGTCACCTGGAATGGTTTTCAATCAACACGTGTGCCTTGTCAAGAGTCACTGTGTGGAATGACTTGCCTTCTTAATGTGTCTGGTGACACTGTTGGTGATTTATTCAAAATGCAAGGCACACTTAACCAGCACGGCTACCACAGCATTCTGCAGTAGCCATCTAAATATAAATCATATTCTGGATTTTTGTTAACACTTTTTTGTTTACTAGATAATTCCATATGTGTTCTTTTATAGTTTTGATGTCTTCAGTATAAATCTACAATATAGACAACATTTAAAGGTGGGGTAGGTAAGTTTGAGAAACCGGCTCGAGATACACTTTTTGTTATATTCCATGGAATGCTCTTAACATCCCGATAGCAATGAATATCTTAAGTGCTTTGACAAAAAATCTGTGGAAGCCGTAGTACTGTAAAAAGCACGACCAATAATTTTAGCCGGCCCGGCTAAAATAACTGGATGGCCTACCTGCCTGTCAGCCTTCCATCTGTGCACAAACTTATCTCGTGCCCTCATTGGTCATGTGCGCGTTCGTTTGTGTTGGAGGAGGGGCTCTGTAAGGAAGTGGCAGATTTTTTCCGGTTGTATATTTTCAAATTCTAGCGCACTCGAGCTGGTTTCTCCAAAATTACCTACCCCACCTTTAAATAAATAAAAAACTTCTAATTTGAAGGTGTGTCCAAACTTTTGAGTGGTAGTGTATTTGTATTATTTGTCAATTGTTACTCCTTTGGAACTATATAGTGGTGCAGGAATGAGTACTAAAACCTGTATTTGAATTAGCATTTTACCATTTCATGTTCCTTTGTCTCAAATTCAATATTTTTTCGAATGCGTTTTTGGTTGTTAGCCTGGAATAAGGTTTGTGGTTAACACAAGCTGAAGAGAGTTTCACGTTTTGTTCTACAACATAAAATACATCAGTAAATATCCCACTGGTCTGAAGCTGGCGTCTAAACGTCATCATGTCGAAAATGAACCAGCTTAGCGATGGTGAAGTGAATTTAAGTGACCGTGAGTAGTTTGTTTACAAAGAAACCTTAGCTTTTTACTTCTCCTATTTGCATTCAGAAATTGGTGTTAATATGTGGAGATTATATCCCAGAGAGTTTATTTACTACAATAATCCAAATACAAATGAAAAAAACTTCTTTTCTTGTCGAGGGAGCCATGGCAATGCTACCACTCTATTAGGAGAATTGGAAATCTAGGTCTGCAACAGATTATTTGCTGAATTTATTCCTGTGTCCGTGTACCTTGTCCTTCCTCACAGCCTACCTCTCCAACAACTCCCAACAAGCCCCTGGTCCCTCTGGACTGGGCCTCCGGGGTCCCCACCAAACCGGACCCCTCTGTGGTCAACAAACACATCAGGAAGGTGGTGGATGTGAGTGGACGACACACCTCTTCAAATTATACCTACAGAATGCATTGATTGGAAAGATGTAGAGATGTGTGTGTGTGTGTGTGTGTGTGTGTGTGTGTGTGTGTGTGTGTGTGTGTGTGTGTGTGTGTGTGTGTGTGTGTGTGTGTGTGTGTGTGTGTGTGTGTGTGTGTGTGTGTGTTTAAATGAATCTAAAGTAGTTCCAAAACATGCTTATGCCAGTCACAAAGGGGCTTCTTGTTCTCCTGTCCTGGATTTATTATAATAAAGTTAACTCTATAGTACAGCATTGGCTTCTTTTTGCTTTTTTATTCGCAGACCTCATACCGCCATTATGATTTGTCTTTATTTCTTGACTTGGAATAAATCTGAAAGAGGACATATTCTCATCATCTTCAGGTTCACATCAGTATGTGTGTTTTAATTTATTTGTCTCGTCATTGGGAAGTCTGTGTTCAGGAATTATGACCATGACCATGATGGCTATATCTCTCAAGAGGACTTTGAGAGCATTGCTGCTAATTTCCCCTTCCTGGACTCCTTCTGCGTTCTGGACAAAGATCAGTGAGTGGACATGTTCAAATAATTCACTTCAGTATTAACTACACTTTTAACTGTAGTTTTAGTCCATCGCAGTCAAAGCATGCAACGCAGTTTAACCTCATTTCCCAGTGGATGCTGGGTAGTGTAGCTACTTTCCAAATAATGGAACATTTTTAGTTTCAAACTTGTTTTTAAAAAACCAGAAGTGATCTGCATCAAGAAAGCTGTTCCCCAGCCACAACCACTCTTTCTTATTGTGGTGTGATAACCTTCACCACATATCAATGAGTTCAGTGGCTTTAGAGTAGCTGTAGCTTACAGTGACTTTAAGATGAGCTTAGAGCTAAGTGCTCCTTCAGAATCAAATGTGTAAAAACTGTTATTGGAATTGCTTTAAAGGGGACCTATCATGCAAAATGCACTTTTGTATGTCTTTTATACATGAATATGTGTCCCCGGTGTTCCAGGGAACTCACCAAGTGTCAGAAAACACAACCCTCTCTATTTTCCTCCATACCCAAATCTCTACAAAAGGGGCTGCAACGGATCTGATAAAAACTGATCCAGATTTGAACACTGTCCTGACGTCAGGACGGTGGCGCTACGGCTATTGGGCCAACTCTCCACCTATCAGGGGAATGTGGGGTTGGGCCACGGCCGGCCATTGCCGCTCGAAAGCGCTGGAGACGCTGTAGTACATATGCCAGGCCTGTAAGTGGCGCTGTAGTCTGCCACAAAAGCAGCGAAGAAGACTTCCCGCGCATGGTTGCCATGGTTTCCCTTCTGTTTATTCTCCGCTGTGGCTTTTTTTCTCCCTCGCCGAGGCAAGCGTTTGCTCCTGCTGCTGTAATTCAATGCAATCCCTCCCCGTCGAGGCAAGCACTGTAATTCTCTCCGGTTAGTCCACCAGCAGATGACAAACACCCACCTCTCCGCCTCTTCCAAGGAACGAGGGGACCGTGCAGCAGAGTTTCAGTTCGCCGGTCAAGATGTCCGTTAAAGTTTAAATCTGTACAACTGTACAACAAAATCAAAATTAGAAAAGTGCCGGTCAAAGGTCTTCTTTGTTATTTATTGAGCTTTAAAACAAATGAATAACGACTCTATATAATAAAATAATAAAACACGGAGGACGGAGATCTATTTTTCTCCCCCTCTTCTGACTTGATCAGAGCACGCTCCCCTCGTGGTCAGCTGCAGCTCACAGAATCAGCCCCCTGCAAAAACAGGGCTGGAGAACAGCACATAGAGCGAAATGAGGCATGGCTAAAATGCATGATCTGTTTGGTATTTTGAAAACAGAAACATATAAATATACCTTATATAGGTATGGCCCTACAATATATCATTTAAATATAGCATGATAGGTTTCCTTTAATATAGATTTGTTTTCTCATGTTAGATGGAAAGGAGGGAACACTCCTTTGCTCTGTAATTTTAGTTTAATCTCCTGGATAAATAATATGATAATAATAAGGTATCTAAAGATCTTCTCTAATGTCCTGCTCACTGTCTTGTCTTTCTTTCTCTATTCCTTATCTTCCTCTCAGAGACGGACTGATCAGTAAGGACGAGATGATAGCGTATTTCCTCCGGGCCAACCCACTGCTCCAGTGTAAGATGGGTCCAGGTTTCATCCACAACTTCCAGGAGATGACATACCTGAAGCCCACCTTCTGTGAACATTGTGCTGGATTTGTGTGTATCTCTAACATTCTGTCACTGTACTTGTTCATGCCTTCTTTTCTTCTCTTAGCAATAAACAGGCAAATATTGTAATTATTGTAAATATTGCAAATATTGTAATTAGTGACCGGCCTGCATTAAGACCACATGTGGGTCATGACACGTGTCCAGTTCAGCCACAGACTGGATCTCTCTGCTTGGTTGGATTATATTACTAATGGCCTGGTACATGTGTAGTTTTCAGCAGCAGTGCCTGGTTATTGAGTTCTCACAGATGCAGGAAGTGTGGAACATGCCTCCATGCTTTTATTTTCTTATGTTATGTTTTGTGCTTTGTGTTCCTAATTCCCATGCTCTACATTTCTGGACCTGCAGCTGTGGGGAATCATCAAACAGGGCTACAAGTGCAAAGGTATTGTTTCATTGCATTCGTCTGTAAAGACCATAAACACAACATGCAACTTACTGTGATTACTGTAATGTAATGTAAGGCCGTTATTCTATTGAAGCCAACAGAGAAAACAGCCATTACGAAAGACAAGTCAATTAAGGCTCATCTTGCTGCCTACAGTATATCCAGTATATTTTTAAATGTATGCAATGTTAAATAGGACATATTATTCAGATTTTCAGGTTCATATCTGTATTTAGTGCCTCTACTGTGACATGATTATAAGCTTTAATGTTCCAAAATGTCTTTATTTCTCTCATACTGCCTGTGATGCAGCACCTCTTTTCACACCGTCTGAAATGCGGAATGAGCCCCCTTAGCCTATCACCTACAATGTGTTTGAGCGCAAGCCAATAGAAGCTCGGGTGTTACATGATATCACTATTTTACGGAAGTAAAACCGTTGACATGTACAAAAACCTATATAACACACTACAGGAAAGTGAAGACCCCAAAGATATAAATGACCCATTCTGTCTGGCAGAATGTTTGTTAATGCTTGTACATTCCTTTTCAGTTCTGTTCACAAATTGTCAATTTGATGTAGTAGTTTCAATACTGTTACCGCATTGTCTGTCAGCCATTTTTGTTGTTTTAGGATTGTTGTCCTGCTGGAAGAACAATTTACAACCAAGCTGCGCATTTATTTTTAGCTGATGTCTTGAAATGTTCCTTCAGTATTTGCAGATAGTTTTCCCTCCTCATGATGCCATTGATTTTCTGGAGTGCAACAGTCCATTATCCAACATCACAACTCCATAAGATTGTGCTGCAGATAGAAAGCCTCCTCCACATATTGAGCTGATGGTTAATGCCAAACACTATGTTTTGTCTCATGTATCTGGAGAAACTTGCTCCAAAAGCCTTTTTTGTCCAGGTTATCCTGTGCAAACATACTAGCTTGTGTGTGCCAATGTTGCTGAAAGGCTGTAGAGTTCTTGCCTGCACCCCAGTCGTTCAGGCCTTGGTGATTCAAGATACTGAATCTCGATGGTGGATTTAGATCATAGACTGTATATATAAAGATTTAGATACATTGGTGCCTCCAACTCTTTAACCAGCTGCTTTGTTCTTGTCTATAAGTGTATTAGTCTTTTGGGCCAAGGTTTGTACAGCCCAATGGACAAATCCCCTCTCCAACTTCCCAAACTATTGTGTCCATTTGTCCCATGAATTTTACATTTCTGTACATAACAGTGGGAACTTCCGTCACTTAGAAATTGCTTCAAAGGAGGAACCAGCAACAATTATTCTTCTGAGTTCTTGTTATTGCATATTTCCATGGTTTCAAGTGCAAAAAGGCCCTCACACTAAGGATAGGCCTGTATATACAGATGCACTTCCCATTTACAAAGGTGCATTCCCAGTTAGCTCATACTTGCTCTGCCAAAGTACTTTAGGTTGTTCAAAGGGTTTGCACAACTATTTAAAATGACCTGACTGCAAAAGTAATGGACTATTATGAAATAAATCATTATGAGCAATTTAGATCATCTGCCTTTTTTTAAGCTTAGAGCACATTCCCCTGAATATGTGTGTGTGTTCACTCTGCAGACTGTGGTGTAAACTGTCATAAACAATGTCGGGAGCTGCTGGTTCTGGCCTGCAGGAAGCTGATCCGCTCCGGCTCTCTTGGAAATGTTTCTCCAGCCAGACTGACCCACAGCTCCCTGCCCAGCAGCCCGGCTCTGCCCACCTGTGAAGGTCATTTCACCTTTTGGTGATTCATAAATCCAGTAGTTAAAAAGGCTTTATGTGTAAGTGATATCAAACATGATGTTATATTATTTTCTTGGGTTCTCTCCTTCAGATGAGGATGAGGTGTTTGAGTTCCCAGCCGTCCCATCACCAGGACCAGCTCTGGCCCCTCAGTCCATCACCCTGATGACGGGCTCCGCCCAGAGGATCTCAGTGCGCCTGCAGAGGGCCACCGCAAGCCAGGCAACACAGACTGATCCCCTATGGCCAGAACACAGCTGGGGGGCCACAGACAGCGGCTCCCACACCTTCCCAAAAATGAAATACAGGACTCACAGAAAATCATCCAAAAATAAAGGCTTTGCCCGCTGGGAAAACCAGAACGAGCCGGCAGTTTCTACCAGGTGCAGCGTGGACTCTCAGGAGAAGTCAGTGGTCTCAGGAGAGCCCGCACAGAACGGGAGGACACACAGAGTTAAGGTGAGGGAAAAACTACTGTATTTATTATGATAAAATTAATCCTTTTCAAGCATGGAAATAGAAACTTCTTAAAGTAAATGTCAAATGTCATGTCATATGTTTTAGAATGTTTTAGAACCCAGGGTTTTAGAACCCAGGATCGGAAAATTGCTGATCACACAATGAGATGTTTAGGTTTAAAGAGAAGTAGGTTGGAGGTTAGCAGACTGAACGTTAGCAGACTGCAGGTTAGCAGTAAGTTAGCAGGCTGGAGGTTAGTAGACTGTAAGTTAGCAGACTGGAGGTTAGCAGTAAGTTAGCAGACTGGAGGTTAGTAGACTGAACGTTAGCAGACTGCAGGTTAGCAGTAAGTTAGCAGACTGGAGGTTAGTAGACTGTAAGTTAGCAGACTGCAGGTTAGCAGTAAGTTAGCAGGCTGGAGGTTAGTAGTAAGTTAGCAGACTGGAGGTTAGTAGACTGTAAGTTAGCAGACTGCAGGTTAGCAGTAAGTTAGCAGACTGGTGGTTAGCAGACTGAACGTTAGCAGACTGCAGGTTAGCAGTAAGTTAGCAGACTGGAGGTTAGTAGACTGTAAGTTAGCAGACTGCAGGTTAGCAGTAAGTTAGCAGGCTGGAGGTTAGCAGACTGTAAGTTAGCAGACTGCAGGTTAGCAGACTGTAAGTTAGCAGGCTGGAGGTTCAAACACAGTCTCACGGCATTTCGTGTTATAGTCACGAAATTAATCTATTGATTCGTGTTCACCAACACGATTTCGCCATTTTTTTCGTGTCACACAGAACGATTTTAAAAGCAATGTAAATAATAACAAATTAGAAGGAAAAAGACAGATTTAAGTATTCTGACACAGAACGATTTTAGAAGCAATGTATTTATATTGGTAGTATGTTTCGTGCCTGCACCAAATAATAACAAATTAGAAGGAAAAAAAGATGACATAAAATACAGATTTCAGTATTCTGAGGCTCTGATCCCCATTTATTTTCCTCACTGACGGCAAAAAAACTCAGACATTATACAATTTAAAATAAAAGCTATAGGGTTAGGCTTAGGGTAAGATATTGAGTAAGAACATGTTTTTATGAACCACACAGCTTCTGGTCTTCCAAGACCCGACCGGACAAAAAGACGTGTTGCAGGCACGAAACATACTACCAATAGAAATACATTGCATTTAAAATCGTTCCGTGTGACACGAAAAAAATGTGAAAATCGTGTTGGTGAACACGAATCAATAGATTAAATTAATTTCGTCACTAATAACTCGAAATGCCGTGAGACTGGGTTGGGAGGTTAGCAGACTGAACGTTAGCAGACTGCAGGTTAGCAGTAAGTTAGCAGACTGGAGGTTAGCAGACTGGAGGTTAGCAGACTGAACGTTAGCAGACTGCAGGTTAGCAGTAAGTTAGCAGGCTGGAGGTTAGCAGGTTGGAGTCTAGCAGACTGCAGGTTAGCAGACTGTAAGTTAGCAGGCTGGAGGTTAGCAGACTGAACGTTAGCAGACTGCAGGTAGCAGTAAGTTAGCAGGCTGGAGGTTAGCAGGTTGGAGTCTAGTAGACTGGAGGTGAGCTAGCGGGGAAGCAGGTTGGAGGCTAACAGGCCTACGTTAGCAAACAGGGAGGACTGTTGGAGTGCTAATGAAGTCCTCTGCACAATAAGGTAGCAATATTTCCACCCACGTTTTGAAAGGCACTGCCTGGAGTCATAGTGCTGAGGCTGACTCCTTCAGATCAATGATTTATTGCCAAAGAAGGTTACAAACAACAAAAGAACAAATTAAGCAGTAGATCAACTTTGCAACGTTCATGGTCCGGCAATTGTGCCAGCATATGAGGCTGATGAGGGGATAAGATGCAGGTGAAGGGCGAGCTGATGAGGAAAACCATATGTTCTAATACAGGACAGCAATATTCTAATGTGTGTTGTCACTGAGACATCCATTTAAACAGAAAGAACAGTAGTTTAGTGAAAGGCTATAATTCCAGATACTAATGACTCTCTGCTCTTCCTCTCCAGGACAGCTGACTTGGTCTCGTTGGTGAGGGACAGTCTCAGAAATCCAGGAAGCCCCTATCGGCTGGGAGCAGGAAGCTCTTCTCTCTGGGGGACGTGCTGGGCTGCCTGCGGCCCCCCGTCAGTGACCTGGAGCTATCATGTCCTCTGTAGACCTCGGCACAGGTGGAGCTGATGTGGCTCCCAGTAGCTGCATGGAAGAGACTGGCTAATGGACTAACACCTGCTGTGTGTCACACTGTGACACCTCCACCCTGTGGAGGGTCTTTGGCTGGGGATGTTTGGGATGTACACAACATCAGCACTTGGAAAAGTAAAGGAAACATTTGTTAACTTCCCAAAAGAGTGGAATTGGTTCAGCCTAGTGAATCAAAGACAGCCAGTAACTTTTTTGTAACCGCTTTAAATGCCAGCTTGGGGATTACAAAGTAAAAGCCTGAACTAAAGAAAGAGACGGGCAGTTCTTCCCAAGTGGAAATGATCCAAAAGATCATGATGGATATGGGAAAGAGTTTTAAAAAAGGGAAGTCAAAATGGAGAAGAACGTTAAGGGAATCCAACCCTCCTGACATACAGAGCAGTGAAGATGGACCATTCTGGACCCTGGAGTATTTATGGCCAATATTTGTATTTATTCCTACATTTTATTTATATTTGTACATGAAAACTACAGTGTGTTTAACCCTCCCTATTGTTTAAAATGTATACAATTACATTTCTTTCAGCATGACATATGATTAATACCTGGCCTGACTCCAGCATTACAAAAAGAGAATCGATGTCATTTATTTTAACAGAAGCTGTTCTCAAATAAAACACATCGAAGACATTCATTGAAATACAATACACATGGTTGTGTTTATCTATGATATTATATTTATCTACTTTATCATAATTTAATGCAGAAAAATCATATTGTCACTAAATGAACATTCGCCAGCGGGAGATATATTTAGCATTTACATGACAGTAAATGAATATATAAAAGCTAATATATCATTTATATTACTATTTTAAATATTTCGTAACCAGGGTACAAATATTGCCTGTTGGTACTTTTGACACTTAAGCAATCTTAACAGATTCAATAGTAAAGTTATTTTTATTATCGATAAAACAAAGTTACGATTCTGCACAAAGAGCAAAAGAAACAGAATGTATTCATGGAATTATTATTGTTTAAAGTGACAGTCATATACTGTCACTTTGCCGTCGTATTAAATAAAACTGACACTGTTATGCTGCGTTCACACCGGACGCGATGCGATGTTTGGGGGCGGCGCGATTACATGTAAAGTCAATGCAGAGACGCGGACAGACGCGAATTCGCTCCGACGGCGCGCATGAAGCGGTGGACGCGGCGCGAATCACGCGATTGAGGCGATTGAGCGGTGCCGCGTTAAACGCGAGAGTTCCATTTTTTCAACTCGAGCGTCAAATTCACGTGACGCGTTCTCGCGGAAGCCAATCAGCGGTGAGGATCTCAGCCGCCGTCACTGACGTTCAACCACACAACATCAGCCGTTAGCTGTTAGCAGTTAGCACACAGAGCTCACAGCTCCTCATATCTGTTCAGAAACTGGACAAAAGTTAAACAAGTACAAACCACAGACTGTCTGTGCCATGGCGAATACAGTCGCTGCTTTATTTATGTCTGTATGACGTTGTTATGAGTGTGGAATGAGCATATACAACGTTAGCTTAGCCTGGTCGACCCGATCTTCATTCAGAAAACAAGCATTTTAAAAGGTGTTTTGCGTGCCGTCTTGTCTGCAGACTTGTCAAAGCATTAATGCATGGTTGTTACTAACCGGTATCAGTATGTTGTTACTTCGGCATCATTTAGAAACGTGTATTACAATTTAATCACGGTAAAATATGTTCATTTGTTGTAGTTGTAGCTCCCGAGCCAGCGTGTCTTGTTTGAATGATGCGAGTAAACACAGCTGGCAGCCGCGGTGAAACTCCAGCGTTTAGAGCGATGCGATAGGAGCGATTAGAGCGAAGCGAATATTCGCATCGCGTCCGGTGTGAACGCAGCATTAGGATATAAAAACAGGCTTTTGGATAACGTATTATTGAAATAAAAAATGTTATTACATCTATTAGTAAAAACAATTCTACTTAATTAGAGAATGACTTTAAAAATGACTGTTTCATATATTGTTATAATGCCATCTCTAGTGTAAAGCACACTGGGAAGAATCCAACCGGGAAGACTGGGTCTGGGTCTGAGCTGAGGAGAGCTGCAAAAGCTTTGGTCAAAAGCTTGGATTTATTAATCATTGTGATAAAAAATAGTAGATGCCACTTAATCATTTATTTGTATTAAATTAATGAAAGCCAGAACGTTGAAACCATATAATATAGGGGATCAAGTTCAAAGGACCCTTTCACGATTCCTTTTATTCATTCCTGTGTTCATACTTCCATCAAGATTTCAAAGGAAATTTAGATTTGTAAATCTATCTACCTTCCAGGCAGTTACACTCATTTGCAAACATTTTAATTTTGTATAAATTATTTATTTTCAGCAACTAGAATCTTACTCTTGTAAGCAGTAAACAAAGCTTTAAAAAAAGTACAAGTAGAACCTGTTTTAAGCATCCACCTTCACATGCACACACATGTGTCAGGTGAGTGTGACATGAAGAGATCTTCAGCAGGTGGCTCTGACATGGAGAGACATGTTTGTTTGGTTTTTGAGGTGGATGGTTTAAAATGACATTAATTATAAACATTACCACGAGCAATGTTTGGCCTTTTATGCAGCATTCTTACTCTTAAAGGTGGGGTAGGTAAGCCGGCCCGGCTAAAATAACTGGATGGCCTACTGTAAGGAAGTGGCAGATTTTTTCCGGCTGTGTATTTTCAAATCTAGCGCACTCGAACTGGTTTCTCCAAAATTACCTACCCCACCCATGGATGTATAATAAGAACTGGATACAGCGTGGGAGGCGGGGCCTCATTCATTCCTATGAGAGTTGCTCATTCGCGCATGATGATAAAATGGCCCAACTTTTGAGAGAGCGAAACGTCACAGATTACCCGGCATGCCTGAGAAGTACCCGTATGTGCGCTCATCGCGCATGCGCAACTTTAACCATGCCCCCCAAAATGCTCGTTCACATCAAGCACGTCAATTTGCGTACACGTAACAGCACCGCACGTTCATGACAGCATGGTAATGGTTTGTTATTATGATAGATTTGATATTAACGAGGCGGCAGTTAGCAGCTAGCGGTTAGCTAGTAATTATGCTAATTTACACATCAATCGTTATGTACTTTTATATTACGCTGTAACAGGATCTAGTGATATCCAAGCAACAGAGCTTCATTTAGCATGAAAGAATTATTGCACTGTATATATATATATATATATATATATATGTATATGTATATATATATATATATATATATATATACTGTAACGGACTGGTTATAATGTTGATGTTTGACGTGTTTGTTGTTCAGAGTTGTTTGCATTTTACAGAGTGTCAGTGAACGTGCCACTGTTTTGATGGACGGTTCTTGTGACCTGTAGCTGTGGGTTTGGGTGGGAGAGTGTTGTCTGGTTGGTTGGGGCTGGAAGAGGGAGGTTCCTGGAGGGGGAGACGCGGGAAGCGAGAGAGGAGCTAGGGGAATATGTGACGGAGAGTGAGGATATACGACAGAGTTAGTGGATTGTTGGCGTGGTTATGGCCAACAGTAACCTGTGATCTGTATAATAAACTCCCGGATAAAAGACAAACCAAGCCTCCCTGTGTTCCTGTAGCGAGACGCTACATTTGGTGTCAGAAGTAAAAGTTCAACTCCGGATTAACGACAGCTAACTAGCGGCGTGCTACAGTGATTGCTGCCATACAGCCTACAGTTTCCATCTCGGTGAGAACATGTCGCTGTGGGACTACTCTAAAATTAAACGGGAGGAGGAAGCTGACGAGCGGCAACACTTCGGTGCTACTGAGAGTCGGGGAAGGGGAATGACTATGAGAATGGCCGCTGAGGCTGGCTTTGACCGCCCCGGCTACTCCCCCGATAGAGACGCCACACGCGGGAAAACAGAGACAAAGAGGGCAGGCACGAGTCAACACACTGAGCAGCACAGAGAAGCCCTCCCCTCATCTATGAAAACACCCAGGTATGATGGCAAAGCTAACTGGGAAGCATTCCAGGCACAATTTGAATTGCTAGCCAAGGCTGGCAGGTGGTCTGCTGAAGAAAAGGCCCTCCAGCTCGCAATGTGCCTTACTGGGGATGCTTTAACCAGCCTGCTGCTACTTAACCCTGATGATAGGAGTGACTATGATGCTTTGGTGGGAGCTTTAAAGAGGCGCTTTGAACTATGCTCTGCAGCTAGCCTGCTCCGCTCTGAACTGTGTAGCCGCAAGCGACGGCCTGGGGAGCCGCTGAGGGAGCTCGCCAACGACATTGAGGGGCTGGTTCACCGCACCTATACTCACATGCCTCCCGTTATCCAGAGTGAGTTAGCCCGGGACTACTTCCTCCAGGGCCTACTACCAGCCGACCTGCGTACACAGACTTTGCTCGCCCACCCCAAGTCTCTACAGGAGGCTTTGGAGCTAGCCACAGAGAGAGAGATGCTATGTACTGCTTCATGGAGTGCGGATGACCACACACCGAAGGTGAGCGCCGCATGCGGTATTGATCTGAATACAGCAGAGCCGGCCTGGGTGGAAAAATTGACACAGCTTGTGCGTGCCACCACACTGAGACAGGAGGAGTCTCAGAGACCCCGCCAGAGGATCTGCTGGGGGTGTGGACAGCCTGGCCATCTGGTTCGAGATTGCCCTCGCAGCACAGCTAACCAGGGAAACGGGGCCGGGTCTGCATAACCGGGACAATGCGGACCCCTGATGATGTGTCCCGTCCCTCTTCAAATGAGGAAACGTCGCAGCGCATTAACCAAGCAGAAGTGTTACAACCAACAGAAGAGGCTGACGGCCAGCCGGAGCGAATCATCAGGCTGGGCCGAACCTGGGTTGAGGACTGCTGGTATGCCCCAGTGACTATTGCGGGAACAGACTGTTTTGCGCTGGTCGACACAGGTTCTTCAGCAACCCTTGTGAAGCCTGAAACAGTGAGAAATAAAACAACTATTTGCCCCACCATAGTGAAATTACAGACAGTTACCGGGGAACGATGTCCGATGGTGGGAGAGACAATTGTGACAATGGGGGTGGGAAAGAAGTCTGTTCGCTGCCCAGTGTGGATCGCAGACCTGGAAGATTGCATCCTGGGGCTGGATGTTCTTGGGACATTAGACTGTGTCATTGACACAAAGAGGGGTACACTCACTTTTCCAGATGGACAGGTCGTTCAGATGTGTAGGCGGCCACCCCAGACAGGCTGTCGTGTGACCCACACCATTATAACACAGACAACCGAGACAGTGACCGATGCCGTTGCTTGTTGCGACTCCCAGATGACGGCACCTGCACAAACCCCCACCCTGCCGACCCTGGACCCTTGCCTTCACCCAGTCATTGCTGCAGAACCTGTCGCCGATGAGAGAGTTTCGGCAGTGACAGAGGTCTGGCAGAGAAACTCTGATGGACTAACTCCCAATGAGCAGAACCTGCTGCTGCAGCTCTTGCTGGAATTCAAAGACTGTTTTTCACTGTCTGAGACCGATATTGGCCGGACAGATCTCATCGAACACAACATCGACACTGGAGATGCACAGCCCATTAGAATGAGACCACGACGCCTCCCTCTGGCCAGACAAGCTGCAGCGGATAAAGCACTGGGGGAGATGCAACGGGCTGGACTCATCGAACCCTCCAACAGCCCCTGGGCCGCTCCAGTAGTCATGGTTCCC